CTGCTAATGCTACTAACACTGCTAATGCTGCTAACACTGCTAATGCTGCTAACACTGCTAATGCTGCTAACACCGCTAATGTTGTTAATGCTGCTACTAACACTGATAACACTGCTAATATTACTAATACTGTTAATGCCGCTAACGCTGTTAATGCTGCTAACACTGCTCATGCTGCTAACGCTGTTAATGCTGCTAACGCTGTTAATGCTGCTAACGCTTTCCTACAAGCCATCTAACTTGAAGTTGCAGCCAATGTCTGAGCTGCACCGGTACCATCCATTCATTACCTAATTTCCCTCTGGGATCAATAAAGTATTTTTGAATTGAATTGAATTGAATTGAATTTTCAGTGAACACATTTTGAATGTAAATTTTAAATATTATCTTCAGCATCATTAGCAGCGTTAGCGGTTGCTTTTGTCTCAGGATAATGATGTCATAACAAGAGCAGAGCACCAACAATACTTAAATATAAACTTCAACATTTAATTTTAATATTTGAGATTTACCTTTTACTTTTATACTTAGCATTTAATATTTATTATTAATATTTAATTAAAAAGTTTAAATGTAAGAACAGTGAGTTAAATAAAATGTTAGTGGAATTGTTTTAACATTTAGAAAGTGAGCTAAAAAATGAAAATGAGTTGGGGACATTTTTAACATTTTATTTTATACTTGGTACCCTATATTTAATTCAGTTTTACAGATATTTAGCTAAATTTCATGTGGTAGTAGATGAGTCATCCCCATCATACATGATGTGAGGACCAAAGAGCAGACAGACAGTGAAGCAGGAGAAAAGGATTCTTTTAAAAACCTGCATCTTGTCCTCACCTTGTGGACAAAGTTCACCCGTCCCACCGCTCCGATCTTAGACGTGTAGTTGATGAAGCCGATGTTTCCCTCGGTGGCGGCGTACAGCTCCCTGACTTTGATGTCCCCGAACCGATTCAGAAACTCGGTCCAGACGTCCGTCCGGACCCCGTTGCCGATGGCGATTCTCACTTTGTGATTCTTCTCGTTTATTTTCTGCAAGAAAACAAGTTTGAATGGAAGCTGTGCTCGAACCTCCGCAGGTTACATACTGATTACTTACCCTGGGAGAGTTGCAGAGGTAACGCATTGTCTCGCCGATGTACTGCATCACCGTCACGTCGTACTTCCTGCAATCGTCCCAGAACTGAGAGGCTGAAAACTTCCTCTTCAGGACGAAGGAGATACCTGCTCTTAGAGCATCAGACAGACTTTAGCTCATTTGGCTAACAACCATTCAGGAGAATGAACAGGAAGTTACAGAGTCCAGTAAAGGTCACAACCTCACACTCAGAATACGTGTTGTGAATGAGTCTCAACTACTACCTCATCAAGCTTCAGCTCAATATCTGTGAATCTGATTGATTTGAAGCAGTTTTAGTGTTTGGCTGAGTTTGATAAGCTGTGCAAGCCATCTTTTTTTGGACTGACTTCAAAGAACCATCATCTACAGGTGTACATCCAACAATTATTTCCTGAAAGTTTGATTAAAATCTCTTCAGTGGTTCATGAGAATTTTTACAAACAGACAAACGGCTGATTCAAAATAAATAGTCAAGATTTTACAGAAAAATCTTCTTCAATATGTGAGTATTTATTATGTGTTGGAGTTTAGTCTCAGCTGCTGCCACACCAGATGTTTGGTCAACACCTGTAAAAATGACCGAGTTTTAGCCATTTTTGTAGTTTTTAAGGTCAGCCGTCTGCAGCAGCCATCTTGAATTGAACAGACTCCAAAAGTAAACCAGCTGTAGATGTGTGTCCAGTGATCACTTCCTGCAAGTTTCATTCAAATTAATTCAGTGGTTCATGAGATATTTTGCTAACAGGCTGACAGTTTGTTCTATACCAGCTGCATTTATCTTTATAAACTACAACTTGTATCCCGTTTGTTTCACAGTATTTTATTTTATTTTGGTTGTTGGTTTTGTTTTTGTTTTCGTGGACCTGTATGTTGAGGGTGAATAAATCACCTCTCTCGATGGATCCGATCATCCCGATGAGGAAGCCGGCGCTGTGGTAGAGCGGCAGGTTGATGTAGAAGGTGTCCTTCGTCGTAACGCCACACGCCGCCTGCACAAAGGAGGCGGCCCACATTTTCTCCTGCGTGATAACGGCCGCTTTAGGCAAACCTTTCGGAGACACAGAACAATGAAGGAGTGAAGCTTTGCGGGAAACAGGAAACCCAAACTCCTCCCTGCAGCCTCACCTGCCTGTGTTCAGCTCACTCTAGATTTACAGGTCAGCAAACAAACTTTAAAAGAGAAACCTGAGTAAATACAAAATGCACTTTTTAAACGACGGTTTCATCTTTCATATAAAATATAATTCTCTTTGTTACATCAGGAATTAACTAAGTTTATTTATTATTATTGGAAAGCAGAGTTCAGTGTGACTCAGACTTGCCTCCTGCCAGATTTATAGAATCAATAAATCACTTCAATAGATCCATTAACCACAAACAAAGAAAACACAGAACAGTGGTGAACCTTCCCACAAGTGACCGGCTGAATAAAATTACTCCAAGAGGCATCGACGACTCAACCAGGAGGCTCCAAAACATCTAAAACCCTGCAGGACTCACTTGCCTGGTCCTTTATTATTTAATATGTGCCTAAGTATGTCTTTTTAGGGTTTTAAGCTTCTTCTTTTTTTTTTTTTTTTTTTTGGGGGGGGKATAGTTCAATACCACAATCAAGTAACTATGTTACCTTCAGTTGTTATGAAAATGATGTATATAACAAAAATAATTTTGACTTTTGCATCATAGCTCATCTAAACTCCTTGAAATTGGCCTCTGTCGTTTTAAGAACCTCCTTCCGTTTCTGACACTCCCACTTCAGCACGTCTTCACAAAAATGCTCCACGCCATTTTGAAGGAGCTTTGTATTTCATTGTAAAAAAAAAAAGGGAAGGAAAGAAAGAAAGAAACAGAAGAAGCAACTCAGGATACAGTTGAACCTTCCTCTAACATGTTTTCTTCAGAGTACAGAGGCTCTTACGAGATGTTTCAGCTTAATAATATATCTCCCAGTCATCCTCTCATACATACTGTATACATCACTGTTAAACTACTTTTTGCAAAAAAAAAAAAAGCTATAAATATAAATCATTATAAAGCTATGTTTTGCAATAAAATCCTGAACTTCCACCATTTATAATATACGTTTTGCTGTGCAGCTGTATGGAGGAGGGGTGCTCTGTGAGGAGCTCTGTACAAAAAGGCAGTGCTTTGTACCAGCAGGTGTTTAGTCAGTTCAACATGGCTAGAGTCAAGGATTTCTCAAACATACAGAAAAGAAAAGAAAAGAAAAGAAAAGAAAAGAAAAGAACTCTTATCATGGTTGTATTTCTGTGTAAAAAGCCAAAACCACTGCTGATTAAATGCCCATCTCACATTCACAAAAAAAGGCATTAAATAAACTAACAGTCAAACATGGCGGTGGTGGTATGATGGTCTGTAGCAGCTTTGAAAGTGTCTGGACATTAGTCAAACTGTTGGGTTCTGCAGCAGAACAATGATCTGAATCACAGCAGCTGAACTCCACAACACTGTGAACAACTCAGAAACAGTTTGCAGTCGTTGCTGCAGAGGCTACCACAACCACTTATTGGATTTTGGCGCATTTAAATTTGAAAAGATTTTTATCTCTTCATGAATAAAATAACCATTTAACCCTCCTGCTGCCCTTGGGTTAAAAAGACCCGTGAGGCCTCAGCAGCAGGGTTAAAAGCAACAGTTTTTATTTCTCAAGTTTTCTTTGACTTGTTTTGTTAATCTGAAGTGTTTCACATGAAATTAGAGAAAAGAAGAAATCTGTAAGGTCAGTGAATACTTCCTCAGAGCTGCACCAGCTCGTGTTTTATTAAAAACAATGGATGAAATCTTTGTTTGGGTTCAGCCGCCTGGAAATACGATGTTTTCCTTCAGGCTCGCTGCTCACAGCCAGCAGCTGGTTCCAAACCTCACAGTTAAGTTAGCAACTAGCTGGTGAGCATCATGAAGGATTTAGCAGCTAAAGAGTCGAAATGATCCAATTAGAAACGTGATTTTTGTTCACAACGGTCACAGAAAATCAGCTGCTTACACACCGATCATAGGTGATGAGTGCACATCTTTTAACTGGCACAGGAAAATTAAAGACATGTCACACCAGTATTTAAATCTTCAATTAAAACCCACTTTATTTTATGATATTTAATGTTTTTTAATCACTTTTTATTTTCTGTTTTTATCTTTTATTTTTTGAATGTTTGTTTCTTCCATTGTCCTGCTCCCTTTGAGGAGTTTTAAAGGGCTTTATAAATAAATTTGGATTGAATGAGTTTCATGATAAAAAAAACTGGCTTTTTCTGAGAGACGACTTTGATATTAGATTAAAAGTCACTAAAAAGTCACTCACTGAGTCACACAGAGGAGTGTTTGTCTGCAGAGGGTCAGACTGAAGTCAATAACTGTGCTTTAAAGTCCAGTGGTTGATTCAAAAAATGCTGTTTTTTAACGTCAGAGCAAATTTCACACAGAAAGGTCTGAGCTCATCTAGTGTTTCAAAACGAAAAAAAAAGGTAAAAGTTTAATTAATTTCAGAAATTAGTGAGGAAAAAAGAAAGAAAATCCTCCTACAATTATAAGAAGAGTACAGAGTCCGTCCAGTGACATTGGATTTTAAAAAAAAACGTGACCACAAAATAAATTAATGTGGAATAAAGTGTTCAAAAACTAAAATCACAAAATAAGATGAAAACAAAAAACAATGTAAAACTCCATGAAATGTTTTTAATAAAATAAAAAAATTATTTTTTTATTTTTTTATTTTATTAGAGAATAAAAAAGGCTTCATTTTACACCAAGCTTGTTCCCTGATCGTCTTAAATTCCTTAATTTTGTAGCCTGGCCCACAGACAAGAATTTCAAGGCAGAATTTTAACTGGGCCAATCAGCGAACAGGAGGAGGAGTTGTGAACGACAGCGTAGATTTTCTGCACTGTTTTAATCTGCCTGTAGTTTATCAATGATAGAGGAGAAAGTGAATGAAGCCATTCAGTCCGTGTTGACAAGGCTTCCCAGTTAAATCACATTTTTCTCACAAAGCCTGCAGCACACATTTACAGACATGTCGTTCTCTCGGTATTCTCTCTTCCCAGAAGGGAAGAACAAGGGGCTGGTTCTTACAAAGCTGGAACTTTCTCACAAATTTAAAGTTTACTTTCGCTGACGTCATTTACATAATTTCTTATGAACGTTATTTTTTGCCTAAGTTTTCTCAGATAAGAGCCGTTTTTGAAATGTTACAAGAAATGAAAAAGGAGCATTAGACAGAAACAAAATGTAGCTCCTGTTTGATTTACTTCATGCAAGGTGTTAAACCTGCACCTGTACAACACTTTGCTGTTCCACTCGTCTACAGACTAAGCTTCTGCTGAAAAAAAAAAAAGATTTGAACCGGTTCCAAACATTTGTTTTCATTTTACATCTCCCAGAAATAGAATTCAAGAAGAAACTTGTTTCTGTGGACTGAGGTTCTGTTCGCTGGCCATACCTGTGGTTCCGGACGTATAGATGTAGAGGGCGATGCTTCTGATGTGGACATTGGCCCGCAGCTCTGGGGACAGCGGCTCATCCGAGGCCTTGGAGATCTTGTCAGACAGGGGGGTGATCCCCGGCACGCTGCAGCTGTCAGACAGAAGGAAGACGCTGATCCCCTGATCCCTGAGCGTCGGCAGCACCTCCTCCACAGCAGCCAGCAGCTCTGAGAGGACAGAGAGAAACACACACACAACGTCAGGTAGAGGCGGAGCTTGACAGAAACACACACACAACGTCAGGTAGAGGAGGAGCTTCACAGAAACACACACACAACGTCAGGTAGAGGCGGAGCTTCACAGAAACACACACAACGTCAGGTAGAGGCGGAGCTTCACAGAAACACACACACAACGTCAGGTAGAGGCGGAGCTTCACAGACACACACACACAACGTCAGGTAGAGGCGGAGCTTCACAGACACACACACACACAACGTCAGGTAGAGGCGGAGCTTGACAGAAACACACACACAACGTCAGGTAGAGGCGGAGCTTCACAGACACACACACAACGTCAGGTAGAGGTGGAGCTTCACAGAAACACACAACATCAGGTAGAGGCGGAGCTTCACAGAAACACACAACGTCAGGTAGAGGCGGAGCTTCACAGAAACACACACAACATCAGGTAGAGGCGGAGCTTCACAGAAACACACACAACGTCAGGTAGAGGCGGAGCTTCACAGAGATACACACACGTCAGGTAGAGGCGGAGCTTCACAGAAACACACACACAATGTCAGGTAGAGGCGGAGCTTCACAGAAACACACACAACATCAGGTAGAGGCGGAGCTTCACAGAAACATTCACAACGTCAGATAGAGGCGGAGCTTCACAGAGATACACACACGTCAGGTAGAGGCGGAGCTTCACAGAAACACATACAATGTCAGGTAGAGGCGGAGCTTCACAGAAACACATACAACGTCAGGTAGAGGCGGAGCTTCACAGAAACACATACAATGTCAGGTAGAGGCGGAGCTTCACAGAAACACATACGTCAGGTAGAGGCGGAGCTTCACAGAAACACACACACAACGTCAGGTAGAGGTGGAGCTTCACAGAAACATACAACTTCAGGTAGAGGCGGAGCTTCACAGAAACACACACAACGTCAGGTAGAGGCGGAACATCACAGAAACATTCACAACGTCAGATAGAGGCGGAGCTTCACAGAAACACACACACAACGTCAGGTAGAGGCGGAGCTTCACAGAAACATACAACGTCAGGTAGAGGCGGAGCTTCACAGAAACACACAACGTCAGGTAGAGGCGGAGCTTCACAGAAACACACAACGTCAGGTAGAGGTAGAGCTTCACAGAAACACACAACGTCAGGTAGAGGCGGAGCTTCACAGAAACACACAACATCAGGTAGAGGTAGAGCCTCACAGAAACATACACAGAGGCGGAGCCTCACAGAAACACACACGTCAGGTAGAGGCGGAGCCTCACAGAAACACACACAGAGGCGGAGCCTCACAGAAACACACACGTCAGGTAGAGGCGAAGCCTCACAGAAACACACACAGAGGCGGAGCCTCACAGAAACACACACGTCAGGTAGAGGCGGAGCCTCACAGAAACACACACGTAATGTCAGATAGAAAATCTTTGGGTGGCATCAAAACCAAGAGCCAGAAAATCATTTCAGAAATGTTATGTTTTTGTTGTAAAAAGAAACTTTGGCTAAATGAGCGTTAAAGATTGCCAACTAATGTGCACGTCAGGTAATTATTTCACATCTAATATTACTGATCGTGTCATGTGTGTTCTACAACTGTCCAGTTTTAATGCTTTGTATCTTTACAACATGTAATCACATCAGGCTTTTTTTTTTTCGTACTTTTTCCTGAAAAACTCAAATGTACCTTTAATGTGAAAGGGTATTTTGAATGCAACATTTACTACAAACAAGCTTTCTCAAATTTAAAACCAGCTTTTCTAATTACTGTGAAAACATTTTTATTTGCTTGTTTCTGTGTACTTTTATGAACAAACATGGTTTTATAAATATCCAACACTAGGAGATAAAGAACAAATACAAACACAGTAATGAATCATGTACATTTTATCCTAAACTGTTTCTTTATTTTATCTTGTGAGATGCTAGTTTTAAATGAGAAAAATGAACAAATTTTATGAAACAAAGTCATTGTGACTAAGATACACACTATGTAACACAAACGTTTCACAGATCAGGTTTTTAATCTATGAGTTTTTATAAAAATCGAACTTTAAAATGAGACATGTGCATCTCTTGTGCTATTTTGATTTATTTGATATTAAACTCTTTGATTACAGCCTTTAGGCACTGATTTAGGTTGAATTCGAAACAAATAAAAGAAAACTTCACAATCTGAAGACCAAACCAGGTTGATTATTAGGTTTGGAATCAGTTTACTCATTTTCAACCAGCAGGAAACCAGCGCCATCACAGCTGGATCTTATAATCTTGTTAAAAAGATGTTTAGGTTTGCAACAAACATCCAGGAGAGGAATGTTCCCTCCAGGTTGAGGGGGGGTCTTTGCCTCAGGTGGAGGAGTCCAAAACTTGTTCATGACAGATCAGGTCCTGGTCCTCATTAATGAAGCCATCGCTTCGATCAGTTGCGATGAAGAAATATTCTTATAAAACCATGCTTCTGTGACGGATGCAGAGAGTGCTTTAACTTTGTCTTGCTGAATTATGAAAGGTCTTCCTTGAAAAACATGTTGCCCAGATGGGAGCAGACGTTCTAAAATCTGTTTAAACTTTTCTGCATTGAAGGTGCCTTTCCAAAAAATACCAGAGACATACATGCACCCCCATACCAACAGAGAAGCAGGCTTTCCTGTTCAGTACCAATAACTTGGAATAAATGGTTTAAAAAAAACTTAAAATGTCAATTTATCTGACATAGAGCATAAATGGTTGTTTGTCTGTATCTTGTGATGGACTTGTGATCTGTCAAAAGTGTACCCCCGCCGCCCCCCACAAAGTGACTGCTAGACACCAGTGACCCCCACGACCCAGAAAGGATGAAAGATAGTGGACAGAATTTATCGGACCACAGAAAAGTTTTCCATTTGATCTCAGCTCAGTTTAAATGAACTTTAGCTCAAAGATGGTGATTTTTTTCTGGAAAGCATTTACTTCTGCAAGCTTTAACTTGCATGACAACAAAACTGTGTTCATATATGATGATTTGTGGAAGTGTTCTTGAGTCCATACTGTACCCCCTGAGAGCCCAAACATCACAAAGTGGTGATTTTAGTGACTAAATGTCCCTTCAGCACTGCCACTGGTGCTGCATTATTATTATCATCATCATCATCATCATCATTATTATTA